AATTAGAATTCCCAGGCTTCCAGGTCTACCTGCCTTCTTTCTAGGTGAGTTAGTTCAGTTGTCTGAGACACACTATCTCATCTGGAAAATAGGTTAACAGCTCCTATATTTTAGGGCAATTGTACACTTTACCTAAAGATGTTTGTAAAGGTGGCACAGCGGGTTAAAGTAGAGCACTAAGAAGCTAAAGACACTTCAGCATGAGTTTGATACCCACCCCGAGGTGACTCTCCTGACCCATCCACTGTTCCCCTCTACAGTGTGCTTCATCGATCTGCCTGTTCTGCTCCCCACTCTGTCTCTGGTGAAGCCTCTTACACCCCTGCACCTCTGGCCTGTACCCCAGCTCTGTATGCATAAATAAATAAATCTTTAAAAAAATAAAAATGATGGCCCTCCCTGGTGGCGCAGCGAGTTAAAAGCATAGCACTGAGAAGCTAAAGCCACTTCCGCTTGAGTTCGATTCCCGTCTGCCCTGGAGGTGACCACATGACTTGGCAGACCTCTCCTGACCCGCCTGCTGCTCCCCTCAGCAGTGTACTTCGTCGATCTGCCTTTTCTGTTCCCCTCTCTGTCTCTGGTGAAGCCTCTGGCCTGTACCCCAGTTCTGTGTGCACAAATAAATAATTTTTTTTAAAAAAAATGAAAAGATGTGTGTAAATCCGAGTCGAGTGAGCCTGATAATGGACCCCAACTCAGGGACCCGATATATCCTATTTTCTTTAAATGCAGCAGGGTCCATGAACCCACTGCATCTCACTCTGGACAGCAGCTGCCCCTGGAGGGAGGGAAGGGACAAAGGTCTGAGGTTCACAGCTGGTTCAGCAGCCACCACAATGCTGAGCCCAGGGTGCTGCTTCTAGCAAGCGGTGGCCCAAGGCCCTCACAAGGGTGCCTGACCAGCCTGGGTGGGGTGCAGAATACCGAACTATGAAGTCAGTGCGGCAGCCGGGAAGCAGATGCCTGTCAGGACCAGCAAGATTTGCAGCTGGCCACAGGGAGCTGGTGTGAGAATCAATCTATCTTTTCTTTTTATTAATTTATTGATGTTCTTACATCATCAGTTTTTGTACAGAAGGGGATGGGGAAGGAGAAGGGTCAGTGCAGGGGGAGGGAAATCATAAAGGACCGGGGACGTGGATCACATGAGGGCTGTTCTTAATTGAAAGGAGCAGCTCTCTCAGCCTCTCTCCATCCCTTCTGAAGGAGATACAGAGGAACCTACTCTCCTTGCCGTAGCTCAGGTGCTTGATTTATGATAAAAGCATGGATTGGTGATGCCCAGAATATCTGAGGATGAAGAGGATGGGCCAGTTGGCACAGGAGAGGGAAGAGGTGACATCTCAGCAGGAGCTCCTTCTAGAGCCTGAGCCATCCACTGGCCAGATCATCCTCTTGGGCCTCAGACCTGTCTGGGCACCCTGATATCTCTGTTCTGACATCTCTGTTAGGAGCTCTGTGAGTAACCCTTGAAAAGTTGGAGGAGTAGTTCAAGGAGAGGGAGGAGTGGGGTACAGGAGGCAGGAGCTCGTGGGTAGTTTTCCTATGGGCTACCATGAGGCTATTGTGTGTGTCAGACAGTTTTCAGTACTTTGAACCTCTGCTCCTCCACCCTAATATGGATTCCAGGAGCAGGGGCAGGCAGATCACCTGGTCTGAACACCCAGGAGTTATACACAGAGGTGAGATGTGGGAAGGCTTCCAAAAGCTAGAAACTGCCAGCCCTAATACTTCTCTTGCTTATCTCCTACTTCCCTGTGGTCTTCACTCTGCACCCGCTATGTCCCCATTTCAAGTTCTTTTTCAGGTTCTTTATGATTTCCCCTCCCTCCTCAGTGATGCAGAAGGCACTTTCCAAAATGTACGTGGGCCCATGTAAGGTCAAGGTTCAGGATGGTGGTGGACACCCCACACCTTCCTGAACTCTTTAGGTCCTGCAAGAACAGTGAACTTTGGTTTCTTTGCACCCATCTGAGATAGGACAGAATCTTGAGCGAGTTGACAAAGAGACATGGCAGAGCTTTAGCAGGTATAAGCAATTCCACATCTTGGCCAACATCATTCTCCTCCTCAACTTCTTGAGGCTCCTGGAGCCCAGAGCGTGGCTGATGTTGCTAAGATCTGCTGCACCAAGACCATCCTCTCATAGTTCGCCCCTGCTGAGGAGCCTTCTCAGAACCCAAGATCCAGGAAGGAATGAATCCCAGACAACTTCTGCTCTGAACCCAAACCATAAATCCTCGTGCATCTAGAGAACACAAATGGCAGATTGCCTTTTTCTTGGAATAAATTAAGGAAAGACAAGGCAAGAATAAAACACAAGTCAACATGTCATTAAATTATCCTGCCACAGCAGCAAAATCACTTCTGCTACCAAAAGGAACTTGGGACCTGGCTGACCTGGGAGGGAGTGAGGATCCATTGTCTGAAGACCTTCATCTCGGGACTCTCATTCTGTTCGCCTGGGCAGTATGTTTTGTTTTGCCCATATAACTTATTTTAACTTGAATCGGTGTTTACTCTGAGGTAGGCTTCTTTGTAAAAGCCAGATTTAAAGATTGACCTGAGAAATCCAATCTGGCAGCTTTGTGCTTTGTTTTTACATGCCAGCAATAGACTGATGCTGAGTGTCCTTTCTCCTACAGTTGTGCAAGGACTTTTAGGTTTCCTGCAGTCCTCACTACTCCTTATTGCCCCACACCTTTTTTTTAGCATAGTAGGTGAATATTTCTGTGTGCCCTTATCCTTCCTAAAGTGGCTAAATAGGCCTTAACTTTTCTTACCACCAACCTGCATCACTGACTCACATCACCCACCTTGCCCTGTTGACACCCCTCACCCACAGCACTTCGGCTTCTCTCTGTGTCCCCAGCGTGCTGGTCCTCAACCTGTTTCAACTTGGCTCCTGCCTCTGGCTCTGTAGCCCACTCCATGGCTTTACTCCTGTTCTGTCCCTGACATAATGTGCTTCTCTGCCTGGACTCCTGATTTCTCAAAGATGTGGCCAGAGTCTTATTCTCATTGGGGTGAGGTATACAAGGTGCACCTTAGAGACCGGCTGCTGGGTTTCATCTGCCATCCATTACCCTTGGTGGGGCTCTGATGTTGTCCTCCCACCCCCAAACAGAGGAAGAGCATTAGTTGCTAAGGTCTTTTGTAGCTTCAAGGGTGAGTAGAAGGGTGATGTCACTGCCCCATTGATATTAACACAAGTCAATTAACTTTCACAAGGAGAAATTTTCTGACACAGAATTGAGGTACCTGGTAGTGCAGGGGACCTGCTAACTATTCTGTGACCCTGCCTTCTTGAATTCAATCCCTAGTGTAGCTCCTGCCTCTCAAGTGTGAACCTGCCCAGACTCCTTTATATAAAAAGATGGGCTTCTGTCTTGAATTTGTACTGACTTGACATCTGTTTTCTCAACCATGTGTGCTGGGAAGTACACAGGGTGGCCAGTCGGTGTGACCAAGAACTGTCTGTTTTTCAGCTGGTGAGTGATCCACCCAGTGGTCACATGTTGTGTGTGAGAGCTAATTTTCCTCAGGGGGTCAGGGACCACAGCCTCCCTTCAACAACTTCTGAAACCTTTAGCCAGAGCTAAGTTGCTTTTTGGATCTCTGACCCACGTAAGCTGTGAAAGGTATAATGAACATTTGGAGTTTGTTAGGCCAAAAAAGTTTTGGAATAATTTGCTACATGGTGATGGCTAACAAACAGGCCCTAGGGGAACTGACCTCATCTGAGTGAACCAGGGTGTACCTCTGAGGATGCCAGCAAGCCATCTCTTCCCAGCCTGGGGCCCTGCTTTCTCTTTGTTAGTTTCTTTCTCAGGTGGGGGTCTCCTCCCATGGTGGTGATGGCTCCAAGCTCTCCAATTTTATATCTTGCCGACTTCTTTCCAACCCCCTTTGAATCAGGGTCTGGGAAGATGCAGAGCTGGGACTGGCTGGCCTGAGCCCTCCCACTCTGAGCCTGGGCCAGAACCCAATCACCAGGAGAGGGATCTATCAAAGTGAGACTGGGCTGCTGTTGGCTGTTAAGTCAAGATCTGTGTCTAAAGACCAAATATATACTTCTAATAGATACTTTAATATATATTTTTAAACATTTGGTCATTTGATAACCAGATACACTTCTTATAAATCTCAATATTGCAGGAAGCAGACTATGCAGGGGGTTGAATATAAACTTTGGTTTCAGGCTTATTAGCTGTGTAACCTGCATAAGTTACTTGACTTTTCCGAGCCTTAGTTTCCTGCCTGTCAGGGTGGTTGTGAAAATTGAAAGCCAGAGTAAGTACCAGTGTTGGAGGCAAACCAGGTTGCAGTGTAGGGTCCTATTGCCAGAGTTACTGTCAGTAGTGTGCTATGGTTTCTCCCAGCAGCTGCTTATCTGTAGTTAAGATACATCTGTGGCAGAATTATCTATATGTCTACTTCTTTATATGACTCGCTTGCTATGTCTGCTTCAGTTCCCAACCCCACCCCATATTTAATTGTGTTGTTTATTATAAATACTTCCAAATAGAGGAAAAACATAGGGTTATCTCCCTTTCTCTGTGTTAGCATGCCTCATTGGAATTTTCATCTCTCTCACCCTGGATCCTACCAGACTGTGTGCTCTTGGGGACACGGTCCATATAATATTTGTCTCCTGTCCAGCATCTGTACAGACTAGGCACCTGATCATTTCCAGGGACCTTGGAGATGGGGTGGGGTGGATAAAATGCTTGAGGACTTCTATGATCTCAGAGTGTTGTTTCCATATTTCACCCAAAAACTGCAGTGATTGTGTGGAAACTCACAGTGGTGTGTAAGTCCAGGGATCATTCTCATGCAGATATGTGGGGCTGAGTGGGAGGTGGGTCCTGAGGGTGACTGGGCTGAATGGCACCTGCCCAGGTCCCCAGGATGAGGTCTGTGAGTGCTATAGCTTGCTCAGCCCCCAGCTGGTCCAGCTAACACCAACTCTTCCCTTCCATCTCTCCTACTCCCTGCAGTCCATGAGCCTCATAGAGATTGGGAACCCCTCTCAGAGCCTGGAGAATGTTTGCCGCTGGGCCTATCTCCAGCAAAAGCCAGACACAGGCCATGACGAATACCATGACCATGCCATCTTCCTCACACGGCAAGATTTTGGACCTTCAGGCATGCAAGGTGAGCCTCTCCCCTGTAAGGGCACAGCGAGGAGGGAGGCAGATGGCAGCCTTGATCCAGGCCATGGGAGGTGTAAGGACAGGGAAGGGCTATGGCCCCTTAGCCTGATAGAGGGCTGGTAAGTGCTAATGAGCCCCTAGTTCTAGAAAGCCACCTTCAGGAAATGTTAGGAAGTTCAGAAGTGATAAAATCAGTAGTTTGTGGTGAATTTCAGAGTTGTTTCTTTCCTACTACCTCAGTTTTTAAAAAACAAATTTGAGTAAGTTTCAACCATTAAAAGTTTACAGATTTTTACTTAAAATTTTGAAACTATATAAAACTGACTCATCTGATAGAAGAAATTGACATTCTACAATTACTGGTAAAGAGACATTACAAAGCAGTACTAGATAGAGCAACACATAAGAATATCAGTAAGGTCACAGAAGATCTGAATTAAGCAATTTGACCAAATAATACTTAGATAACTCGGGTCTGAAATGTCTTGTAAATAGATGATGAAAACTTACAGTGTTGATAAATATAGCAGAGTACTCTAAACGTATTTTCTCTTCCTTTTGATTTTCTTAATTACACTTTCTTTTCTCTCACTTACTTTATATAACACATGTAACATACAGAAATATGTGCTCATCCATCTGTGTTATTAGGCTTCTGGTTGACAACTAAGTATTGTCTAAGTATAGGCTAAGTATAGGCTAAGTATAGGCTAAGTATTGGCGAGTCAAAGCCATATGCGGGTTTTTGACTGAATGGATTTTTGACTCATATTGCTCAAGGATCAACTGTATAAATAGTAGAACACACTGTGTATGAGTAATAGTGCACTTGAGAGTACACACTCTGTGAATACAGTATGAAACTCTACCAAACAGACTACTTGCATGCAACAGAGAAGTAGTAACAAAATGTATAAAATGAAATCACATAGAGATTGTGACCATATCGAAATAAACAGATAACTTGAAACATTACAACTGTTTGGAGATTAAATAACATAGCCAAATAACCCAGGGATCAAAGAAGAAATAGCAATAGAAATTAGAACATATTTTAAACTCCGTGATAATGACAATACAACATATCAAAACATGTGACTATAACTATGTAACTAACATAATGATTAGATTGGTATTTGTAGTGTTAAGTGCATTTAGTAGAAACAAGATAAAAGTCCTCATATGAACATCTAAAGAAATTTAAAAAAAAAACAAATTAAAATTAAAAGAATGGAAAAGAAATTCTAAAGAGCAGGATTGTTACATACACAACATTAGTAGGGAATACTAAGGAGCAATAACAGGTAAAATCAACAGAATCAAAATTTGGTTCTTTGAAGAGCATGGATTAAAATTGAAGAACCCTTAGAAATACTAAAAGAAAGAAAAAAATTTAAGATCAGAAATGGCAGAGACAATATTGCAAATTCTACTTACAAAAGATAATAAGATAGGGCCCTCCCTGGTGGTGCAGCAGGTTAAAGCACAACACTAAGAAGCTAAAGCTACTTCAGCATGAGTTCGATCCCAGCCCAGAGGTGATCCACATGGCGTGGGGCATACCTCTTCTGATCCACCCGCTGCTCCCTTCAGCAGTGTACTTTGTCAGTCAGCCTGTTCTGTGCCCCCCTCTATTGCTAGTGAATCCTCTCACCACCCCTGTGCCTCTGGCCTGTACCCCAGTTCTGTATGTATAAATAAATAAACATTTTCTTAAAAAAGATAATAAGATAAGCAGAAGATATTTTGAATAGCTGCACATCAATAAATACGTCAATTTGGATGAAAGGTACAAATTCCTTGACAAAACTATTCTGAGGAAACAAAGACAAAATCTGAATAGTTTCACATTAACTAAATATAATGAATGTATAATTAATTGCCTTCCTTCAAGGTAAACTCTAGAACTTGACAGGTTCCCCAGAGAATTCTTACTAATTTTTAAGGAAGAGCAATATAAGTAAAAAAGAAACTCCTACAGAACAAAAATAGAAGGAAACATTTGCCAGCTATTTTGTGAAGCCTGCATGCAATTGACACCAAAATCTGAGAAGAACATTACAAGGAAAATATTACAACCAAGCTTTCTCACAAATACAGACACAAAGAAATTCTAAAGGTAAGAGCAGGATTGTTAGATACACAACATTAGAAAGGAATACTAAGGGACAATAACAGGTAAAATCAACAGAACTAAAGTTTGGTTCTTGAAGAGCATGGATTAAAATTGAAGAACCCTTAGAAATACTAAAAGAAAAAAAAATCATTAAGATCAGAAATGGCAGACATATTGCAAATTCTACTTTTAAAAGATAGTAAGATGGAGGGTTCCGGAAGATGGCGGCAGAGTAAAGACGCCGAGATCACCGCGTCCAAGCCGGCATAGGAATTGAGGACCGAAAACGGACTATAGACTCACTTACTACAAGTTTTAACCCAAACGAAAACACCCTGGACTCACTAGAAGGTAGATAACTGCGAGGGAATCTGCGACTGGGGAGCTCCCAGAAGGGAACTCCCGGGAAAACCCGGGCCCCTGGAAGTTCCCCCAGGCTGCAGGAGCCGCTCTGCCCCACGCTAAACCCTGGAGGTAAAGCTGGACGGCTCAGCTCAGTGAGTGGAGCCCAGGTTGCAGAAAGACTGCAAATCTGATCCTCAATACCTGGGTAAGAAAAAAAAAACCGCTGAAACTGCAGACCCGATCCAGAGCACCTGGGCTCCACGCAAAGCCGCTGAGCAGCTCCACCAGCACCGGAAAACGGCAAGAGAGCGGCAGAACAAAGACGCCGCGGCGAGTACATCCAAACGCGCACGGGATTATACAAAAACGGACTATAGACTTTCATGCTACGAGTTTCAACCCAAATGAGAACGCCCTGGACTCACTAGAAGGAA